TATATATTTTTTACAGCCGAGAGACTGGACTCATTGTGTCCGTCGCTTATCGTACGCATTGTGTTGCCGTCATCTTTCGCAGTGTCGTCGGCTAGCAATTCAGACTGTTCGTAATTGCCAGGTTTACTTATTCAACCTTGCGACACAACATGGGCGACGTTGTTGTTGTTGTGAAAGAGGCTGTGGATGGAAAGGAAATCGTCGTGAGGGAGACAGTGTGTGAGCGCGATACTGAAAACGAAAAACACTTTGAACACTGGGAAGGGGTTATCGCCATGAAAACACGTGTGTACTACGCGTTCATCGATGACACCCTCGCTTTAAGGGTCGTGGCAGGGCTCGGGTACGACGACCATGATCGCCTTGATGAGGTTGTAATGCACGCAAGAAAACTTTCGGATGTCGTTCCTGATGCCTGCGAACCCCCCGACTTCGATATGATTGGTCATTTGCTAAGGTGCATCGTGTCAGTCGTTGCGGTCGAGCACGTGGAAACGTTAGCACCCAACACATGGTATTTCTCCAAACTCGACAGGCCGCCACAACGCCGTACTTTTCTCCACGGAGATGTGCGCACTGTGTTGCCAATGGCGGTTGCCGACAACAGTACCAAAGTGTCAACGAACCATCATCTCGGTCGTCTCATGCTTAGTCTGAAACAGGTGGGTTGAGTCACAAAATCGTAAAGGTTTTCAACATTCGACAGTGTTTGAGACCACGACTACCCGCTCATCCCATACATATGTTTAAAGTGTGTTCCCCCTCTCCATGCGGTACATGCAGAATATCATGTTTGCGTTATTCGTTGCTCGATCGTTAGGTTCATAACTTACGGTGTCGGTTTCTGTGAATTGCAGCACATTTTGAACGCCATACGAAAGAAGCGATGATGCGTTGCACGCCAATGATTGTCCGATGTTACCACACCACAAAACTGACAGGCGGCAACACCGTATACTATTACGAATCAATGACTCCCGTAACAGATCTTGTCGGCGATGCAGCGGGATACCGCAATGGATACAAGAAGGTGGATCGTCATTTCGTTGTCAGCGTGAAAGAGGAACGAGTCGTTTGACTCACTACAGAAACTTATATTCGCGACCACGCCATCGAACACGTTTGTGTCCTAATGTCTAAGTCAACCACGTACTTTAGTACCTTTGATCTCAAACCGGTCGACAGTGATTTCATGTATGATATCGTATTCCCCCTTGTGCATCGTATACTATACACACACTACGGGACGGTTGCTCGGGACGGCGTCTGGCGCCTGGTCGTGTCACTGCCCTATTTTGTCTCCAATGGCGATGATTTCTCAACCATGTTTTATCCTTGTAGTGCGACCCAACGATGAGTATCATTCGTTAATTTTTTTCTTAGTTTCTTCGTTGTTGGAGAGAAATAAAATGATGGTTTCAATGATTGTACATTCTCTCTTTATACATATGCAAACCCTATCTCCCATGTGTTTGTTATATGTTTTCAGTATAATTTTTTTTTTTGCCTACTTTGCGTTCCGAAATTTGTTTTCGTATTCGTTATGTGGAGGTACAGTAGGTACAGTACTAAGGTAATCGGTGCCCGTAATGTTCTGTTTTGTAAATTTCAAAAAAATCACACATAAGCGACAAAACAATATTCACTCTTTCAAATACATGGACCGTCGACGACGCAGGGCTAGCGTGCGGGCCGACGCAATAGTATTTGGAAATGGGACAGATACTGATTCTTTCCGCGACGAGGAGCTGACAGTCGCCGAGATTTGGAGCCGGTGATCGGGAGCCGCAACGCTTTTGGAGGAGGCTGTGACTTTTGTTGGTCTGGAGGAGCATTTGCAACAGTGCATGAATCTGCTTATTGGTCGTGCAAATCTCGAACCTAAGCAAAATCGTTACAATGGATATGTCGTTTTTTCTCGCTGTGCGGGTTCGTCGTTTTCCGACAGAGATTGCCAGATGAGTTCCAAGACGCAATGCGGGAACGATGGCCAGATACAATTATTCGAGGTTTTGAACTACGACAATGTGATCCTCCTGAAAACGCGCGCCCACGTCGACGTGCACGACGGTAAATGCTTCACGAGAGATAGATAGATAGATAGATAGATAGATAGATAGATAGATAGATAGATAGATAGAGATAGATAGATAGATAGATAGATAGAGATAGATAGATAGATAGATAGATAGATAGAGAGAGAGAGAGAGAGAGAGAGAGAGAGAGAGAGAGAGAGAGAGAGAGAGAGAGAGAGAGAGAGAGAGAGAGAGAGAGAGAGAGAGTATGCTTGCCTGCAGTGTGAGTACGTTTGTCAGTCCGACTGCGTGTTTGCCTTGAGTGTGTGTGCGCGATCGTAAACTTAAGCGTGGGGGTTACTTTTGGTGTGACTCGTAACGGCCCGTGCTTGTTCGACAGGCCGTCAGGCCCGGTACTTACCTATTGTCGTGACTTGCAGGGATTGCATTATGTAAAATTTGGTTTCCCTGCTGTACATAATCTTCTTCTTCTTATAATCCTCGATCTCTCATKTGAAGTTYWTTTWTTTYTTTTTGCAATTGTATGTCATTGTACCATTGGCAATGGAGTCTGAGCGATTCTAATCCTCGCTCTCGCCACTCAACTTCATTCATTTACTGTTGCAACTGGATGTTATTGCAATATTGGATCAACGTGAAAATATGAATTGGTTCGTTTATATAATGTGCGATCCAGCTGTTGCCTAAGTGCGTAAGCATGTGAAGTATGGATGTATGTGTAACTCGACATTGATCCAATAATATCTATACCCAGAGGAGGAAAAAAAAATAAAAAAATATCAAACACAAGACATGAGATACCATCAGATGTGTGAGAAAATATATATATATATATATATATCACTTGGTTGTCTTACGATTTTTTCCGGCGCTCACACACAGACATTCTCAAACACGGTCACACATGCATAAGAACAGGGGGAGATGATTTTGTTTTTTAAAACACCTAACCACCCATACAATATAAACCATGCCTACACATGCATAACAAGAGGAGGAGAGGTGACAGAGTCAATCATGCACACAGACAAGGATAAGCAGCGAAATTCTACCATGCACACATCGACGAGGTCACACAATGACTCTCACTCTCCGACAGACTCCCAACAAACAATCACAATGAAGAACCTCAGCAAAATCACAATTGATAGAGAGAGAGATAATGAGCCAACTCGAACGAATATCATAGCACAGTTTGTTACAGTCGCTTCGTCCCCAATCGATTTCCCTCATTCTACTAATAGAATACAGTACTCTAACCTACACGTAGACCGGACTGACTAACCGACCAATACCGTTGCAGTTTCGCCCTCTCGGCCTCTACCGGACCCGACTATAGGCTATAGGACCGTCCATCAGATCTGGCCATTCGGGCCTGTCTGTCCTGGAGGTAGTCCGGGTCTGCTATTCGCAGTAAGTGTACATATAGGAAATTCGAAATAATGTTGGGCCTATATTTTCCATATTTACAGATGTGACCCTCACAAATTTTCCTCACAGGTTGGTCTCACGGTTACGCCCGAGTAAAATGAAATTACAAATCTAACCCTACGGGGTAGTATACAGCCTCGCCATCAGTCTTCGCATTCAGACTGGAAATATATATATATATATATATATATATACATATATATATATATACATATATATATATATATACAATCAACACGTCAAACTAAAAAGCCGAAAAACATAAAAGTCGTATGTACAAGGTACTACGACATAACATGATGTCAGTCGTCGAACAACTCGACATCATCTGCGTCCAATAGAGAATCGCATGATCGATCGGACACGGCATCCGCCGGTCCAGGCAACCCATCCCCGTCGCCAATGATGAAAACATCGTCATCCCCCACAACGTCGGGATCCGCACCTGAAGCAACGTCGTCCTCGTCACGGGCAATGGTATCCTCACCTCTGCAAAAAAGATCGCGAGGCAGAGGAGGTGTCGAGGACCCGACCTCGATCGACACATCACAGTCGTCGTACTCGAGAAGGCATCGAGCCCAATCTGAAACACATTTTGAACCGAAGACGAACGTGGACAACCGATCCATCCACGAATCGGTAGGTGGCCGATTGTGACGGTAGTGGCTCGGCCTTGGACGAATCGAAGTCCCAGAAGGTCTGCGGACACGATACTCCAAGGGATCCTGCCATGCATGACTGTTCCATCGAATGACTGCAATCGCCAAACGCGGCTCATACGACTTCTCGAAGTGCAAGGCCTTCTTCGCGTAAATGATGATTGTGCCCTGGAAGGTCTCAACCGTCGACATGTGACGGAACTCCGTGTAGTACGAACAAACGGTCGTGCTGCAATGCCTTCCCAACGTCTGGTGAATGATGTCATACACGGGGTCGTCGTGCGTGTACAGAGGCAGCCGAGATGGGCCACCCGCCTTAGAGCATAGAAGCTCTCTGTCCGCAACGCACCTGGAGTCGTCCCCGGCCCAATGGTTGGCGATCATCATGACATCATTGTGCAGAGTGACAAAGTCGCCGCCCTCATCTCTGCAAAGTTGGGAAGCACGAAGAAACCAATACCCCACCTCATGCATATGGAACTCAGTCACACCATCTGCATCCATGACCAAGGATTTGTTGTTTTTCATCGTGCCGTACGGGTACATTTTGCTCATCACAAGAGCAACGAAGTCGCTCTTCTTCAATCGTTCTTCTTTTGCCGTAAAAGACCCTGGTCCAAAACGGTCCGTCAAGGCATCTTACAGCTCCTTCTTCGTGAACTGCATAAACTGAGATTCTGACACGCACTGATGAGGGTTGTTCAATTTCTTTGGCACCTTCAGTGTCACGACTTTTCTAAGTGCCTTGCGAANTTTGGCACCTTCAGTGTCACGACTTTTCTAAGTGCCTTGCGAATGTTTTTTACCTTATGATGRCAATCCTTCTGCCATTCAATACCCAGGCGCTCCAACTGTGGACCCAATGCAGCACAATCGTCGGAGACAACACACCGGATCTTCAACCCCCTCGACAGCAGGCCTCTCAACAGGCGCACAACAGCAGGAACCTCAAGTTGGTTCGACACCTTTCCCTCATTTTTTGGCCGAAGAGTGTGAACACCCACCACAAGACGAGTATCAMACTCAATCGCGGTAACAGTGCAATGCTGCGCAGACCTGCCCGAGTCGTAGCGACCGTCAACCATTAAAGTGACGGGTCTCCCTGATCGCATAATCGTGTCAATGGCCAAGTCGCAATACCGCACGCTCTGCATGACAACCTTTGCATTCCAACCCTCACGCACATTCGGCTCACCTCGCATGCAACTGTAAAAAGTGGGCTTGTGCACAGGTGCCACCCCAAACGCGATGCAGAAGTCATTGAGGACGGTATATGTCATACCCGCAGTGACGGTCGCATAGAACAACTGCTGCTGAAGTCTGCAAGAGTACACAGCTCCCCCAACCAATGCACTGTGCCATGTCCAACGACAGGGCTTATCACAAGCGAGCGAAATGCGACAAATCTGCCCACGATAACCGACAAAGGACACATCCACAGCACAACCGCCCCCGTGGCGCGGGCAACTCAAATCAAACAACCCGAGCAACTGCAGCAGCTTCACCGGCTCCACGAAGACGACATCAGGCGCTTTCGAGCCTTCCCAGTGCCCCATCGATTCCAACACATGTGCAGACCGATTATTGCAAGGTCCGGTTTGCAGAGCACCATCCTTCGAATCGTCCCAGCACAAAGGACGTACATGTTCGAAACGCGAACGCGACCTGCCACGGCTTGGTGGCCGCCCGCGCGATCTGCGGCCATGCTGTGACCCGTGCCCTGAAAGAGGTAGTGAATCATCCGACCCACAAAATGACCTGCCATTGCCTCCACCGCTCCCTTCACCCTCACGCTCGCCATCATCCTCAGCGTCTGCTGTCGAATCATCCCCTCCTGCTCCGAGACGAAACACATTTGCACGGCTGTCGGCCGGTAGTGTTCTCTCGATCCTCGACGCCACACCGTCCCCGAACTCTGACCGGATGGCTGGCAATGACCAATGCAACAGTCGGTCAACGACATTGCTCATGACCCCAGACTTGTCGCTCACTTCTTTCATCGCAGATTGTAAAAGGCGCAGTCTCTCCTTGCAAGCGGTAGTCAGGAACAAACGAGAGTACTTCGCGGAACCAGTTGACTGCGAATCGAATTGGCCCAAAGACCCGCCCGAGTGTTCAGAACGACCCGTACCAAGATTTTGAGCGCCAGGATCGAAACGGTCGGGCCTATCTCCGCTACCACACACATTGTCATCCTCGTCGAACCGGGAGACGAGAGAGCGACGGGCGGAAGAGGCACGATGTGCATCATCCAATACACCCCCCTGCCCATGACCTGATGCGGCGAATGAATGTGAGACCCGCGGTTCTACACTCCGACGTCCTCCGTCACGCAGTGTGGACCCTCCACTTCCAAACACCGCTCCTGATGATTGAGAACACCCCTCTAGGGGGATGGAGTCCAACCCGTTGCGTCCAACGAAAAGTGGAGGAGGAAATGGCTGCGCAGCACACGACAGAAACTCCAAACGGCGAGGTTGCAATGGCGGCGACAGCACAGGAAAACACAACGCATCGAAATCCGACAGAGGGTGTACTGGAGTGTATGGACGGCGCGCTGGAGACGGCAACAAGGGCGGCAACGGAGAATGCACAACTGCAACGCCAGGAGTGACGACGACTGTAGGCGAAAGAGAGTGAACACGAGGCCTCTTTGTTGATCGCATGTCATCCGGGCTGCCATAAGGGGATACTCCCAGCAAACCGCGCTGTCCAGCATGCGGTGACACCGGCGTGGCATTGCCACGCGCGGGCTAAGTGGGTGGCCGTTCTGCTGACCTGCCGTCATCAAGCGTGAAACTGACTGGTGCGTCATCCATGACAGATGGGCGACCCTCTCCCGCGCCGTGCGTGTGGTATGTGGTGGACGGTGCAACGCCGGCAACACAATCTCGAAAACGATGACCTGCCAAATGGCGAAAATAACAACGTCCGGTCCTGTAATCAGCAAACAGTCATCGGATGACAGACTCAGTGACTTGCATTGTCACCGATGCACTGGAAAAGAGACTGATTTAGAGAAAGACTCACGAACTTCTTGACAGATTGACCTTCGGCCAGACCGCCTTACACACATCCGATTCAGCGACTGAGTGACCAACTTGATGACAT